TCCAGGTCCCTCTGGATCCCATCCCTTCTCTTAAATGTTATGAATATATAAGAGGAGAAATAAGCTTAATCAAAGCTGTCAATATGATTGACACATAGATTGACACATAGATTTTGTCTTTTTGCATGCTCTTTCGTACCTTTCTGCTATGTTTAAAAGGACCATTATCCCGTGTTCAAACCAATTATTTGCTCAACTAAACTCATAGGGCAAAAGGTTGTTACAGGAATGTTCTCTGTGGATCTGTTGAGGATGCTCCTGTGAGTAAAGCCCTAGGTAAAAGGTACAAGCCCTGGTCAGTTGAAATGCTCAGATGTTCAAACAGCAGCTTCTGGTCGGGAGTTTGACTTCTAAAAAGTTCACCACTGCTGGTTTCTCTCAGTTTGCATCCCCTGAAAAGATTATGACTTTAAATCAACTGTAGCATGTTTCCTCCGTGATATTAAATACGTTTGTTTTAAAAGGAAGGATGTATTTAAATACAAGTCACTCTGCAAGCACAAAATAAATCCTCTGCTCTTTGGCCAAGTTTGCGTCTTCAGCTCCCAAATTAAGATCTCCGGGTGATCTAATCTGAGTGAATTTAACATGTTATTTGGGAGCAGCTACGCAAGAGGCTTTACTGTAATTCTCTGCTTCCAAGAACGGTAGCCCAATTTGTCCAAATTTATAAGAAAAAGCAGCAAAGATTGACTTTCTTTTCCCAGCTACTGTCAAGTGTGTTGGTCAATGCATTAAGTCCAGGTTGATGATGAATCAGTAGAACCAGTAGACATGTGCGTGCCCATTTGTGCTGTGATTTTGGGTCTTCTGAGGTTGCCAGACTATCAGGTTCCTCTTCACACTATGAAGCTACAAACCTGCAAGTAATGGGCTGAATTAGGCAAAAGCAGATGATTAACTTGTCATATGTTGATCCCACTTCATGAACGACAGCTGTGGAATAGTTATCTATGGCCTTATCCATGAGCCAGATGTTCGCATCATTAAATGTCTGACATTTAATCCAGTGTGGGGGCAGTTGAGAGGTCTGAAGTAAAGGGAAACTGGTGTCATGGGCGGCTGGAATCCAGCCTCTATGGGTCTGTAGACTGCAAAACAGCACTAAGCAAAATAAGCCGGTCAAGGCACGTGTGTGAGCAGCATTCTGAGGTGGGAGAGGAGCAGAGCCCACACAGGGAGGGAGTAACGCCCTGTCTGCCAAGCTCTGTGCTACTACATCCACAACCCTTCCGACTCCAGATCCAAAGCTTGGTCGAACATCTGATGCTGTTGCTGGCAGCATAGATTTGGTCTTCAGCTTCAAAGAGCTCATGTTACTGCCATATTTTGTTGGCAGCCTTTCTTTTGAGACTGCTGATAAATAAGTGATTTACAAGATATTTTCTTGTTCTGCCCCCCCAGCCTACTCACTGGTAGGGCAGTGTGAGAAGCTGGGAAGTCCTTGACTTAGTGTAGACAGTGCTCAACAACTAAACCATCATGGAATCATAGGATGTGTCAAGTTGGAAGGGATCCTTCAGCGTGTTATCAGCATTATTCTCTTCCTAAATCCAAAATGCAGCACTCTAACAGCTACTAGGAAGAAATTTAACTCTATCCAAGCTGAGACCAGGACAACTGGAGCGAGATGTCTGCCTCTTATCCAAATTCTATTGCCAGTGAGTGTTTGGATCAGAATACACTTATGGTGGATATCAAGTTTGAAATGAAAATCTCTGTCTCTGGACCATCCAGTGGTCATTAGGTTGTGACTCTTGACAAGAGAATGTCCCTTTGCTCTGCCAAGTGAAGCCTGTCATGCACATACGAAGAGTAGCATCTCACTTTGCATCTGGCTAAGGCTGGCAGAGAGTATAAGAAAACTACTCCCATGGTGTAGATAAGCAGGCTTGGCCTCCAAAATCTGAAAACATGAGCTGTGAAGACAGAACAGAATAATTTGGGTTGTTTAGTCTAAAGCAGCCTGGGGGTAGTGGAGATGGGAAGCAACAAACAGTGTCCTTGGGGTCATTATCAGTCCTGCTTCTGCAGGGTGTGTTATTTGTAGGGACATTTAGGCAATGCTTTTGTTTGATGAAACGTGGAAAAAAGTAAAATCCATTTTAAGCTGGTTTTGTGAATGTCCAGTCATGCTTGTAGCAGTGCTTTAACAGACATATTGCAAGCCCTTAGAGCTAAAAATACGCTGCAGCCACTTGGACTACAGAATTAGACACGTTGAAGCCTCTGTGTGATCTGTTTGTTCTAAATTGGGTAGAAGTCTTCCAGAATGGGAAGTACACTGAGATGACAGTGCTAAAGGGAGTTTAGCACTGGAACAAATAGTTTTTTGTAGGGTATATTTGGCTGAGGTTAGTCACAAGGATGGTCTTTGGTCATGGGCGTAGATGGGGTGTTGTGTTGGTCTACGCATGCGTCTTTATTTGCCAGTTCCGTTGGATATGTGGGACTGAGGGATACTCCGTGGATCCCTTAGTTTAAGGGATTTAGAGATATGCTTCTTTCCATTAATTATTGTGCATTGAGACGGACAGTGTGTGCTGAGGTCTAAAGCAGGCTAAAGAACAGAGTGGAATGTTTAAGACTAAACTAGAAGTGAAGTACAGATTCTCCTTTGACTTGTTCATTAGCTGCCCTTGGTTGGGCAAGTTCTTCATAGCAAAATGTTCTTGCTATCTAGAGGAATATTTGTTTTGGGGTGCCATTAACACTATTATTTGGGTTTAGCAGCCATAAAAGAATGGATATTCCAGAGCAAGATGACATTCTTCCTATCTCTATTTTGCTGTGGCTCCAGAGCTGATAATAGCATTGTAGTGTCTGTGATTATTCCATGACTAGTTAGGAAAATGCTTGCACTTAAGTTTAATTTTAAGGGAGCTGTCTGGCTGCTTTCTCTTGAATGAAGATAGTTACTATAGCAAGAGCCTCTGCAAGCAAACACTAATGGATTTCCTGCTCATAAAGG